TTCGGCAACGCTTCTCTAGTATCCCGTCTACAGCTTGTCCTTACCAGCTTGCACTGCCAAAGGAGGCAACATCGTGTAATCTTGGACAACCTATATATTTCGGTTTTGCAGCTGCTGTCAGGAAGAAGCTCGATGAAGAACTGAAGTTGAAGATTAAGAGGCTTAAAAAATTTGACGGCCAGCACATTGTGGTTCTCAAGTTTGAAGCATATTTGCTGAATGACGATGGCTCGACCGGTCCCCAGCTGTGCAGTCCTGTCTTTTCTAGTGAGGTAATCAACCAAAGTAAGTGCGAATGACGTTCCTGCTACGTATCTCCATGTGGTCGCATTCATAGGCAAAATGGGTTTACTTGAGTGGCTTCTGTAATAAAATGCATTATTACTAAAACGTTTATTGGTGACGACAAATTGTGATCATGTTCACTATCATTCACCGTAGCAACTCTTTATTTCTCGTCTAGGATCAACCCAGAATGGAGAATTGAGGATATCTAAGATTGGCAAGTCATCAGAATCTTGCAAAGGTGGTCACAGCAGAGAGAAAGATAATGAAATGCTAATGTTCACTAGTAAAGTAAAGAGAGGAGGTAAAAATTGTATAGGTTTACTTGTCGAATGTGTGTCACCTGTAATATCTAAAAATGTGTAAGTGCAAGCTGCACCACAGTATTGCAACGACACGGTAGGCCAATAAGCCATATCGGAAAATCCCCGCCATCATATTGCGATCAGATAAGAGGGGTGATAAGTTGCCTATATATAACATAGTTAGGATAGTACTAGTCTAGGTTTTTAGCTCATCTGACATAGTCAGATGCAGCTTGTAGAATCGCATGAGTGTGCATCTGTCCGGCCGTGCGGCCGTGCGTCCGTGCGTGCGTCAATAGTTGGGCACAAATCTTAACCGCTTGACGTATGGTCACGATATTCGGGACGTCAGGGGGGATCGTCAAAACGAGTTGGGATGTCGAAGCTGGGCGTCAAAGGTCAAAGGTCAATAGGTGTAAAAGAAGGAGGAACATTCCCTCCTTAACTTAAGGTATAGGGAGGAAATGCAGAATTGCGGCACAAATCTAAACGGCTCGACCTAGGCTTGTGATAGTCGGTGTATAG